ACAGTACATTTTGATGCTTACCACTCAGGAGTATGGTTATTCAGATCCTTACACTTAATTATCTGATAGCAGTTACATTCAGAAGTAGCCTATTCCATGTGTAACAGAATGAAAAATGTTAGCTCTTTGCTTCTGATAGAGGATCCAGAGTTAACATTTGTCATAAAAATGCCAAAGGAAGTGGCTTATCTTTCAATCAAAGGACACAGATAAGTTTTGGCAGCAGGAGGCTAATTCTGGATGATTGTGTGTTAGAGTTATACCAGCGACTTACTTAAAAATTCCCAGTCAGCCAAATAAGCAAATAAATAAAACAGATGTCATGAAATCACCTTCGGGCAATTGACTGGCTTAGATTTTATAAAATGTGAGGTGGAGAAAAAAAGGCAGTCATTGTGAAAGACTTGTGCCTTGATGAAGAGAGGAAAATTGAGAAGGAGTGTTTCTACCAACGGAAAGTAAACATACAGAGTTAATCTTAGGAGCTACTGCACATGTTTTACACAGCAGCAGTTTTGCAGGGATTCAAGCAAACATAAGTGGCATCACTGCTTTTGTGGTAAGTTTTCATGTCCCATGGATTTTTCTCAAGAAATTGAAGTAGCATCATTGTTGTTTAGAATGCTGTGTGATCTTTGACTGGTATTTTAATAAAACGCATAGTCAAGCCTCTCTGCAGATCTGATAAGAAAAAAAAGAAAAAGAGAGAATGGATACTTTGATGTATGCAGCATGGTGTCAGAAAAGACATAAAATATATACAACCTTATACTTTGGAACCTCTATTTCAGTTTTGGCAGATTTGGAAGGTAGACAGTATGCTTGGTCCCTGCTTATATTTTTTCAAGTTCCCTGATTTGTGTATATTTAATAGAAGAGTAATCAGAAGGTTATCAACCCTGATGTTGTACTTATTTTTTCTTGCCTTTCGAGTGATAAATTGGGGATGGAGGAATGGGAAAGCAAATGAATTGGTCTTTCTGCAATCTGAAAGAATGCTGCCTACTATCCATTTGTACCCTGCGAGGTGAAAACGTTCCCTCACCAGACAGAATCTGATCTCCATGGTCAATTGAGCAGATAGATCCATCAAACAAATTTTCTTTATTTACTGGGAAAGATACTAACTATTTCTGATTTAAATCTGTACTCTAAATCTATATGCTGATTCTGATATGCCTAGAATAGGTGTCCATGCAATACATTAGCACAAAGCAGACAACATAGCTTGTCAATCACACTGATATGCATGTTAATCACTACTTTCCTAGATTCCTTGTCATCCACAAGAAATGCCTTGATGGCATTGGGACCAGCGGCATCAACACCAGTACAACATCCAACTCAACATGCTGTCAAAAACCCTTCTCATCTTCCTGCAGCTCTTGCTCCAAACACTCCTTCCCCTTCCCCCCCCACAAGATCCTGATGTGAGATCACAGGACAAGACCAGGCATCTGCGCATCAGGTCAAGAGGAGATGTAGGAGAGGCATCAGGTATGAACAACCCTCCTGCGATAAATCCCACTTTTTATAACTGACATTTTTATGTGCCACGTTCATCATAGATGAATTAGCTGCTGTGACTGAACAGATTCGAAAGTATATCTGAACTGTGCCTGAGAGCTGGTTGGCTCCACCAGGAAAGCGACTCCAGGCTACAGACCTCGTACTTCATTACTCCAAGCGGAGGCCATATGCAGTAGTTAATGCGATGGTACGGAGGGGGTGTTCCTGTCCCACTGGCATGGAGATGAACGGAGACCGTATTGCTACCAGAGACTGGTGTGTCACAGTGGGGCAGAAGGTGCAGTTGCCTTCTGCTCTACCTCACAATTGCTTTAAATGCCCTCATAATCATCTGCTCTGCAGGACTCTTTCACTTCGGTTGACTACTACATTTCCTCGCCTTCTTTCTTTCTCCAGAATAAGCCTTCAAGCCCATCTGTAGGCTGGTGAAAGAACATCAGTTTCATCCTCTGGAAAAAAAAAATAAAAAATCCAGGAGGTGTCACTTGAATATTTTTCCTTATTTAATCAGATACAGTAATGCAACAGCATTAACTCAGTGAAGCATAATTTAATAATAACTTACATTCTGTAGTGGTTTTTGATCCAGCTGTCTGAAAACACTTTAAAACATTAATACATTAAATTTAACACTGTCCCTCTTGTGAAGTAGGTAGGCATTATAGCCTTAATTTTACAGATGAGAAGACACAGGCGCAGAGAATTTAAATGCCTTGCCCAAGGTCAAATGAGAGATTCCTGCTAGAACTAGGAAACTGGGAAGAGGAAGGAATAGTGTTCTTCCATTAGCGCTGCAGCAATTTATCCAGCTGCTGGCTTTTTATGGAACAAAATGTGTGCATCAGTTAAGTCTATATACATTAACAAATATATTTGTTTATCTTCATAGGTGTAACAAGACACTAGTATAAATGACTTGATAATCAACAGCATACTTTTCAACTGAGAGAGTGCATCAGAGTGAGGAGTAGACCAAACATAACATTTTGACCAGCGAGTTTGTTCTATTTTTTTCAGCATTATACTGAAACTAGATCTATAGCATTATTTTTTTTGTTCTTTTTTCTTTCATATAATTGTTGGTTTTGAGAAATAAATGCACTAAATAAATGTGTAACCCTTGCAGTGGCTGACACAGGTTAATATGTGTCTGGACTGCTGCATCTGGAGATGAACACAAAATCAGTTCTTGGGCAGTCCTGCAGTGGTGTTAAAAGGAAAGCAAACCATAGGGAGGTACAAAGCTGAGACAAAAGTTTAATTACAGAAGGCTGTCGTGATGTTGGGGGTTTGTCCTAAGAAAGAACAAGATCTGGAATGCTGTTAGGGGCTGGTTTGCAAGAATGGGGATCTCTGAGACATATTTGGGTAGATCTGGAAATGTTAACCATAATAGAGGATGTGTAAATCATTTTATTTTTCAGAACTTTCCGGGTAAGTTTCCGATTAAGCATGCCAGTCAAGGAAAAGCCATGCCATGGGTCTTAAGATTTGAAAGAGCCTAGAGAAGAGTTGCACCATTGCATTTAGAAGTAGTGTTTATGGGTCTGTGTAGAGACATTATTCCTAGGTTTCTGAATAAGGCTGATAACATCAGAGGGTGTGGGCTGAGAAGTGATCTGCCCAAGTAGCCAAGTCACAGCAGAGGCAGATTGTCACACAGCAAGAAGGCAGGACATGGACAAAAACATGATGATGCCAGTCTCAGGATAGTAGGTAATAAATGATCCTTGTCTCTATGTTGCCCTGTTTCTAATCTTATAATATCTTTTAGCTCTGTCTCTTTCAGCATGTTGGGATGGCACCTTTCTGACTATGGGCACTTGGGCAGATACAAGAATGGGTTTCAAGCCACTTTACTCTGTAAGCTTAAGCACTTTTCTTCAGAAGAGTAGGTCGAGTCTCCATGCAAAGCAGGTCTTAAATAAAGTTTATTTAACAGTAATGAGGACTGAAAAAATATTCTGATTTTAGTGTATTTTAGGTTTATGTGTGAGAAAGTTACAGTAAAAAAATAACTTATATGATACACAGAGCTGAAGTCAGTTTTCTGTTTCTTTAGTGCTATTTATCCATTTGTATAGATCCATTTCTTTAATGCTATCCCCATTGCATAGAATAGAGCATGTATGTGTAATCTAACTTCTGTTCTCACTGGGGCCAAACAAGTGATGTTTTCCTAAAGAGATTTTCTGTGTGGCTCTGGGAAATCACTTTCTTCTCTTCAGCTGTTCCATCTTGTTACATGGATGCATACATCCTAGAAGCACTTGCAAATTTCTGGTTTTCCTCTCCTCCTTTTCCTGTAATCCGTCGTCACCAGCCACTTCCATAAGTGTATACTGGCTTGTCTATTTGCCCAACTTAATCTATGTAAATACATATAAATGCTTTTATCTCTATTCTCTTTCCCTTCCCACTTAATTTCTTCTGAGATTCTTTGTGTCTACTCTGATTTGTGTTGCATGCAGCTCTGTTCCGAAGTTTTTAATAGATACATTCACTTACCCTGTACATCTTTGCTGCTACCTGCTACCTGCAAATTCCTTGTCTTTCAAGCAGTGCCTGTTGCATTCATTTGCCTCTGTAGAGAGGTTTTAGATCTTTTTAGGAATCATGAACAAAATCATTTGTCAAGCAAAAAAATCCTGCTAGATTGATCTTCCCTTGTTCTTTGTGGAGAAGAGGACCAGAACAACATAAAACTCAAATAGAAAATACAGTCTTAGTGCCTATGCAGAAATCACAGTTCTTGCTTCCCAGTTGTGAGTAGCGAACTCCCAGCTCGTCAAGCCAAAAGACAAAGGCTCTGTTTCTGTCCAGTAAAGTCCAAGCTGTGGGATAGCAGAGGTGGGGGGCTGGAAAGGAGTGATGATCCCAAGTTAGGACTTAGGGTAAGTTTGTAGTTATCATTTACTCTTCTTCTGTGTATTTTTCATACCTGTTCCCATTTGTTAGTCTATCATATGATGCTCTGCAAAAGTAATTTCTCCACAATCCATCTCACAGTTCTTAGTCATGTAAAAACACCTCAGGCGAGGGCTTCCTTCTCTGAACCTTTCTTCCTTTGCCCCAAATCCCTGGCAGAATGGGACAAACAGAAGACCTTTGTTCTCTGTCCATGTAGTTAATGACTACTTATGTCCCAAACAAACCATATTCAAGGCCTTGCTTGAGGTGGTGTTGAGGAACAAACCGTAAGAAACACTGGTTAAAACGTTAAAAGTGGTTAAAACACGAAAACCTGCTGAGTTGCTTCCACAGCAAGGAAGAAAAAAGAAGTCACCTGTGCCTTGCCTCTTGTCTCATTGAAAGAGGCAGCTGTTCGCTTTCTGCTGAAGGTTCATGTTTTATGGAGACTAATGAATTACATGAGTGTGATTTGTATGCTGTGCTAGTTGATGATGAAGGAACTGAAGCCCTAAACCCGAGGTTTTTTTTTTTTTGGTGTGAAACAGCAAATTATTTTCTATAATCTGATCTGCATAGTTGGCTTAATCTGTATTGATTTTTATATAAAGATCTATATAACAAAAGACACTTCTTCAGGGAACTAACTACATCACCTTTTAAAGTCCTACATCTCCATAGAAATGGCTTTTATCATGTAAAGTCATGTGTTTAGTGTTAAGTCAAGTTTAATGTTATCTAAATGAAAAATATAGAAGGTTACCAGATAGCTGCGTAGAAGGTCCGAGTCTTTCTTTACCCATAAGATAAAAGTAATGGGCAGAGAGTAGATATGGTAGCCAGAGGTTTAAGCAGAGGCATTTGCCACACTGCTCTCATGAACTTTTTTTGTCATTTATAATGCACTTAATGGTGTATTGTCTTCTCACTAATGTATTGATATGTCATAAGATATAATAATAGTATGGTATATACATGATATATAGTGTATATATATTTTGTAGCATTTATTGTAAAATAAAGTATTGTAGCATTTATTAAAATTAAATAAAATAAAATTAAATTAATATAAAATAGTGTCAGAGCTGGCTTCAGACCTTCAAACACCTTTAAGGAACTTGTTTAGAATATTTTTTCTTTCTGGACGTATATGTGAGGTAATACAGAAAGATGGTTCAAAGTTGGTTACAACTCTGTTTTTGACCAGAACTTGGTTTACTTTTGTATGCAGTTAGAATGGTGTATTTTGAAGCAGCTTTGGTGTCCAGAATGTTGTAATTTTAAAGACAGGTATTAGAGGCCCTAAATAGGAGTTTATTTCCCACTAAAGGGGATCTCCTGATTTCTCAGTCACTCAGAGGTGAGCTGATGATGGAAGGAGAATGGGAAGGACAGAGATAATCCACTGGTTATCAGAAAGGATGTATTGTCCAGACCAAAAACTAGGAAAACAAAGGGCAAGTCTGACAGTACCAGCAACATCCAGAAGTGCCTGCATCATTGTGCCCCCTTACAAGTTAAAATCTTTCCAGGAAAACTTTATGCCTGCTCCCCCTGCTCCCTTGGGGGCAGTAGGTTTCTCCTTTGTAGTTTCCTTGTGCAGCTTCCTTCAGGTCTGGTTTTGGAGGCTGAAACTGGATCTTTTGGCATCAGAATTACAAGCTTACTGAGCTGCTAGAAGAGCAATTACATCAGCAGGTTGCAGTGCTAGGCTCTTGCACCAATTCACCTGCCAGCAACAGAAAACTTGTCTTTCTATTTTGGGAATGTCCAGGGTATCTTTTTTTAGGTTTTGCTTTTGGTCTGAGAATATTTTCTGAGAATTTCAGTGTGGTTTTAAAATGGAAGTGTTTTTAGTCGAGTTCTTTGTCAAAGGAAAATCTTTTCCTAAGTTGTTCTCTGCTCTTCTGGGAGCAATTTCAGTGCAAGCGAGGTTTACTGTGGGCAGAAGTTTTCCTTTTCAGAGGCTGCTGTTCAGTAGTTTGCGGGCTGATGGTTGGATTGCAGAGATCTAAGTCCAGATGCACAGATAACGTGGAACCAGAGCTGATTTCAACATTTTTCTCATCCTGCTATTTTGGTTTAATGCAAACTTAATTTTCATAAATGTATAAGAAATATAAATTCTTTTATAAAGTGGAAATTATAATAAAACTTAGATCAAAGGTTTTGGTAGAAGGTGAAAGAGTGGTTTTGGCAGACACTGTAGCATATTGAGACCTCACAAATTCATTATATCCTATGCTCTGTTCTCAAGGCATAATTGTTACTTAACAACAGTAACAATTCTTGTGCTGATTTTTAAAAAAATGCCCATTAATAATAATTTCATTATATGTTACCAGATTCTGGCATAATTTTGTATTTGCATAGTCTGTTAAAAGTCCATGTATGCTTTTGCTTTCAAGATGAATGATTTAAAATACAAAGTTTAACGTGTTTGCTCAGACAATAAGAAATGCAAAATGACATGTAATGTTTGACAATTAAGAGAATACTGTCACAAAATGAAACAATAATGATTTCAAATGCAATAGGAAATGTGATCCAAAACATTATCCTCTTCTTGCAGAAAGATTGATGATCCTGAGCAGGAACCATGTAAAAAAGAATCTTTGTATGAAGGAATTTGTTCCACATAACCATATTTAACTTTTCCCCTGACAAGTTCTTTGAAGATGCCTATTTTAATGGCTGTTGAAAATCTATTGAAGATCTGGAAGATAAACAGCATTAACAAACTTGCCTCCTCTTCCTTTTGTAGGATTGTCAAATACAATCTTAATTTGCCAGAGGCATTGTATGTTTATTAAAAGTGACATTTTCCCATTTTCCTCCAAGCAGATGGCTCATATGTGCAAAGAAAACCAAGTTAGAGGACGAAGACTGTATGTAATGCCTTAATGCTCCTCAGTTGCAATATTTCTGAATTTTCTTAAAGTGAAGACCTGAAATGGACTCTTCCAATTGCTACCTGTGTGTAAAAGTTTCTAACTAAAGCAACATGAACTGGCTGCATAATTTTTGGGTGACTAATTTTCAGATCAGCACTTTGTCTGTGTGTGTATGTAGGCATATATGTATACGTACACATATACATGCTTACAAACTTTCCACGTGATTGACAGCACTTTTTTTCCCAAAAAAACCCCATATTTGCTAACCATAGAATGGGTTAAGTTTATGTTATAGCCTATTTCTGTCTTTTGTTATTAAGACCAGATGTAATGTATATTAAGCTTGATCATTTTATCCTGGACATTTGCTTTACAAATTTAATTTAATACAGATAGGCTTTTTTGAGCTACACTAAGAGAAGTTTTATGCATGCACAAGAGGAATTAGTGAGATTAGTGTCTGTGAGCACTCTGCAGGGGATTCAACATACAGCAATAATTTGGGTCACAATGCCTTATAAAGTCAATGATAGTAAGAATTTTTAGCATAACTTTAAGCTGATGCATCATTCCAACAAGCAAAACTTTTGGGGCTTTTGACCCAGTAAGTATTGCCAGCAAATCACAAATGTTTGGTTAACACCTCCTTCTGGAAAATCTATTCATCAGTCTGGAAAGGGTTTGCCAAAAGTGCATGTAGCCAGATTAGCCTCTTACATGGATGGCTAAGTGTAAACAAGGGACTTAATGCTAGCGTTAGGTCATGCATCAGAGCTAAGAGGTTCCAATACAAGACCTTCATTTCTTTGCCTCTTTTTTAACTAATCTCATGTTGTACACACATCAGGTGCATGTGTCTAAGGAATATTAGGAGTATCGATAATTAGTTTTTTCTTTGGATATCTTTAAGTGAATAACAGAAAAATTGATCAGAAACTTCAATTTGGTAAAAATGTGAGTAGTGCGTAAGGTCTTTGCAGAATCAGGAACTCGCTCTTTTGGTTTTCATACATTCTTTTCAAATGCTTTATTTGCTTCAAAAGGATTAATCTTAATAGCTTTAAAACTGAAAGCCTAAAACTAGCAGGAATTGTTGGCTTAGGACCTGCAACAGGGAATTAGTGGCTTCCCACTCACCACTAATGAGTGGATTTTTTTTAAGCTCTGTTTATTTATGATCACTGTTGAATACAAATTCATTTTAAACAAGTTATTTTAGGGAACCTGCTCTGCTTGACTTCAAAAAATACTCAACAATCATATTAACAAATGCCATTTGCCCAAATGGCAGCATAACTTCACATCACATTAAAAAATGCAGCATGCTGAAAGAAGAAAATATCCAGATTATTAGTAACTACAGACTTCTGAAATGTTACCTCCAGAAATGAATCTTTTTCTTAGCATCAGATATTTTTTGGGCAACCTAGTATACGAGCACATACTATCACGCACTGTCATTCTGTGTTCAATATACAACATAAACATTCCAGAAAATTCATATTTAAGGTGGTTAGTAAAGTGATCTGCTGATACTGAAAAACCACATGCCTTAAGAATATCGGGGGAAAAATAGATTCAGTTATTTGGGACAGCATAAGTGTTCCTCTGTAGAAACTTCCTCTAATATCCCACTGTTATTCCTTTTTCTTGCTGGCAAAAAAGAAATTTGAACAGAATAAAACCAAACTAATAGTGGGGTTAATTAGATCCTGCATTTTAATATCTGAGGACAGAAGTAAAAATTTTTTTTTGATTCTTGGCTTTTGGAAATTGACCAGTAACACTCTTACTGTAGTGTTTTCTTCCAGATTTCCTATTTTGAATCCACAATGTGTAAGAAAAAACTATTTAACTAAGCATAAAAGATTTTTCTTTTGTTCTTCCACAACCCTGGGTTTTGTTTTAAAATTTTATTTTTTGTCACTGTTACGAAATGAAGTTTTCTTTTGCCTGTAATTTTTTAATCTTCTTGACTTCATGGGTTTTCCTCTCTTCATGTTTGTCTATTTTTGTATTTTCTATCACAATGTTTTTTTCCACAGTTCTCATTCTTGTGCTGTCACACTGGCATGAGCTGTTTCCGGCATGCAGCGTGCTATGATGAGCATTTCTGTGTAGCTCTGGTCTATGTGGACACTCCAGGCTAATGCAGGAGTCCAAGCTGCCACATGAGCCACAGGTGAACTTGATTAAGCCAAACCCCAAGCAGCCAGCCACTTCATTTGCCCCTTTTGTGGACATGCTTTATTGTTGGGCTGGGATTCTTAAATAAGGGTTTGCCTGCATCTTCTTTCTTCACTTATCTAACAATCCCGAAAAACAAATTACTTTTCACTGGGAAGCAGAACTGCACAGCTCTGGCCATCTGCTGCTGCTTAGCAGGGGAGCAACTCTGGTCCTGGAACAGTGTACCAGAAAGGTCAACTAGTTTCAGTTACTCAAATTACTCTATTGACAGGTTGACCTGTAATTGTCTTCTTTCGCTGTAACAAATTAAAACTCAGTTACAGTGGGTAATGATTTGCTCCATTATCTGTAAGATGGAGGTGGGATAATTTACTGCATTCCTGTTCTGTACTAGAATTGGCCATCAGATTTATTTGGGGAAAAAAAATTACACTGTGCTAAAATGTAGCATTAAGTGGATTATACTCCAGCTCCCGCATCATCCAAGTGGATATCTCATTTTACATTTCTGAAGTGATGTATACAATAAAAAAGTGTTCCTGCTGGTGTTTTTGCTAAAATATGTAAACATATGCACACACAGAAGAGCTGATTGTTGTTTGGCACTGGCAAAGGTGTATCTTGGAGACATAAGGCTCCAGGTCATTACAGAAGATGTATAGAATACTTATATATGTAACATATTAGTTATGTATTATACATTTACTATATAAACTTTTTTTAAAAAAGTTTTAATTAGTGCATGCTACCAGAAAGTATCAAAAGGTGCTGCTGCCTGACAAGGAAGAGAATGTCAAGCTTATAACTGAAATAATTTAGGTTAATATTGCAATATTTTAAAATAAATATATAGGAAATGAACCATTTACATGCAACATGCAATTGTGTGAGTATCTGCAAATGCAGCACTGATTTTTTTTCCTTGTTTGTCCCTTGGCAGTTTCCAGCTGAACTGCTATGCATCCGACTCCATCATTATGTCTGGCAGCTGCAGTGCAACATGGTTTTAGAACTTTCTGTGATTTCAGCAGTGAAGCACAGCAAGCACTTTACTGGCCAAAAAAAAAAAAAAAGCCAAAAAACTTGGGTTGAGATATTTTCTATATCCATGATAGGGATGCTCAGTAAGGCAGGAAGCCTCCATTACGTCGTCATTACTGACAGCTCGCAACAACTTACCCGGTTCTGAGTTGCCTGATACAGAATCAGCTCCCTCTCCTAGCACCGCTTTTTGTCTAGTTTTACCCGTGCTTCTCGTACAACAGTCAGCTCCCTCAAGATTTCGTTTCTGAATCTCAAGTGCCATGGTGCCAGAAAAAAAAAAAAAAAAAAAAAAAAAAAAAAAAAAAAAAGTACAGAAACTATGGAAAAATGTCCCATCAGGTGTGGTTATGTTTTCCTTCAGATTCCTTGAAATGGTGACCTTGCTGGATGACCCAAGATGAGCAGATTCTTTCTTTTTTCCCCTCAAAAGTGTATTTGCATGTGTATTATCAACACTCCTTTAGATGTACTATGACATGAAAACCCCTGGATAGCCTGGACCCTCAAATAATTCAGAGAGACTATGTGATCTGGAAAAGAAGCAGTAAGTTCAGGAGGAGTTGGGGAGATGACAGATATTAGCCAGAGAGGGTTCTGAAATAGAGAAAGTATTCTTCAACCTTTAGTACTGCTGGCATGAAGGTTTTTGTTGTGTACTTATGCTTTGTTTTGTTTCAGGGGGTAGCATGTAGGTAATATATGTGAAAATGATAGATATTTTCCTTGCTTCTCCAGGGACAGTGCACGCGCTTCGTATTTTTTCTAGCCTTTTTCATTAATAGCAAATGTATACTGTTTGGATCTATGCTAGTGGGTTGTTCTGTTTTATTTTAAAATCTGAATAGCATATAGATGGCAAAGCCACAATGTGACTGGAATGAAATGTAATTTGTGTCTCTTCTCGCCCCTTCTCCCTCCCAGCTTTAAAAAGAAGAATGGAAATTAAAGCAGTGAAGGGTAGAAAACACAAATTAGAACTGGCTTTAAGCATGCGAGTAGACCTGCTTATGTAAATCTCTGAATCAGTCTTCAAAGAAAGTACTACCATTCAAAGCTATAAATATGTTTTAGCTCTTTCTCAGTGAGGATCAATATGAGGAGGTGTATAACTCCACTTTCAGTTCAGAACAATTTTATTCCATTTTAATTTTAAATGGAGTTCTTAAAGTTAGATAGTGCTCACATTTCAAAGTATATATTTAGGGTTAGTCAAAAGTGAGGTACACTTATATTTCAGGTGTAACTACTAGTCAAGCTGTATGGCACCTTTTATGGATTTAAATATTCTCTTAGGTCCCTTCCTACCTTGTGCTGTTAGATGAAAAATTCAAACAAAAGCTGAACTGACTACAGCAAAACTGTTATACTGGCAGATAAGTACAGAAAATACTAAAAAAAAATTTAAAGCAAAAATACTTCAGGAGACATTTTCACCAGCTTTTTAACATATTTGCAAGTAGGTGTTTATAATGTCCTTAACTTTTAGTCATGAGTCTCTTTCAAAATATGATAGTATGGGCTCTGTCCAGTTAGGCCTACACTTCATTAGAATAGTAGACATGTGGGTTTGAAAGCACCTCTGGATGTCATCGAGTTTAACTTCCTGCTCTAAGTAGCACTTTTGCCCACACTACAGCGGGGCAGCCACAGCTCCATTAGCCAAACCTCAAAAGTCCCCATGGTGGAGACTCCAAAGCCTCATTGGGCCCCCTGGCCTGGTGCTGCTCTAGGGAAAATGTTATTCCCGATGTCCAGCCGAATCTCCCAGGTTGCGGTCTGTAGCTATTGCCCACTGTTAGGTCATTTGCCACGCTATCATCTATGTGGCTCCTTGTCAAGTACTGTTGTGTTGCTCCTCAGCCTGCTCTCCTGCAAACTAGACAAGGCCAGCTTCCTGAGCGCCTCCATGCTGGGTGGGCTGTGTGCTCCAGGCTGCTGATGAACCTGGTCACTGGACTTTTGCTGGAGACCCAAAGCTAGATAGAGTATTCCAGATACAGTGCCAAACAGAAGAGAATAATATCTTCCCTCTTATAGTCTAATTGCATCTAATTATGTTACAGGCTAATTACATCATGTCAGAGTGTTTGAGAAATGTTTGAGAAATATGGTAAGATATTTTCTAAAATAATGCTGTTCTTACAAGTTCCACAAAATATGGGATGTCCTTTCACGAAGCCTTGCCAGCATAAACAGTACTATGTAGATCTGAGAAGTCAATGCATGAGTCTTCTTTATCATAGTTGTAAAAAATGACGAAGATGCAAGGCCTTTCTTCCTCAGACTTGTGTTGAAGTGCACATGATTAAGTTGCAGAAGGAAGGCAACATGAAAAGTGATTGCAGGCTAGTTTCATTTTCGCTTTCTGGCTGTGGACTCATGAGTATTAGCAACATACACATCTCTTGCATTGCTGTTTGCAGTGAGAACAGCACAGGGGAGATTTGTGGTGTCCCTGTGCGTGCAGATTGCCTTCCACCTCTTCCAAAAGAGATGTTCCTAGTCTTCACAAAGGTATTGAAGACGATATGAGGGATTTCCTTCACTACTAGTTTTGACACCCATTTTTAGTTGTCTAATTAAATGTTGATCCTATTAAAAACTTGTATTTTTAAAGCAGAGATGTTTTATTACTCAAAAAATAGTAACTGTGGAAACCATCTGAATTCTGTACACGTTATAATATTAAGAAAACAGTGGATGCACCCTATCACAAACTTTGTAAGTCATGTAAACGTCTGTATAAATTGTATTTGAGCAGAATCTCTTCTATAACTGCTTCTGACCTCTTGACTTTCTTTGTAGTCCTTTGTCCAGTTTGACATTTACAACAGCTCTCATTTTAATAAAAAAGTGGAAATACATTTCCTGTTTTGCTTGCTTTTTCTTTCAACTTTAAAGGATATTGGTTTCCTTTAGAAAGGTATTTGTTGTGAGCAACCACATCAGAACTGGGTTTTAAATGAAATATGATTTGCATAAAGAAGAAGGGTCAAATCTTTTTGTAATTACAAAACAGTTTAGGACTCGGTGTTGAAAGTGGGGGTTTTTTTTTGGGTTTTTTTTTGTTGTTGTTTTGTTTTGGGTTTTTTTCATGTTATAAGCAGAAAGGTCTTGAAAAGAATTCTTTTTCATATGGTGTAGCTTTAATAAGCAAAAAGATGTTCCTATCCCAGAAATCTTGTTCTTTTGGTACAAGATGTATGATAACGGTGTCATGCAACCAATGGGTAGAAAAGCACAAGCAATTAGTGGAAGAGGAAAAGTTAAACAGACTGACAGGTGTGTAAGGATTTGTAAGTGTCCTGCTGGAACAAATTTAAAGGAATTATTTGTAAGAGTGTATTCTTGTGCATAGACATTTTTCCTAACATAATAAATGGAAGTATGAAGATTTTTGTAGAGAAGATGGCAGTTGGGCATAAAAGGCTGCTGTTGTTAGCAGGGAGGAGACAAGACTTCATACATTAACTGTTTATTGAATTATTTGGTGAGTTGTAAACTGTAACAGCACTAAATGAGAAAACCCCAGCCCGATATTTTATACAGTCAATAAGATAACATGAGTAAGAGTGAGAATAGAAGCTAGCCGTAATAATAATAATAATAAAAAAATATATTCTTGACGAGATGCGGGTGAAAGGAGAAATTGTACTTCAGACATTTTCCCCTCAACTCTGGATTCAGAGCAAAAAGTAAAAATTTCATTTTTACAGGGGAAAATGTCTCCCCTATACACATAGAAAATGTAATTTTCTGGAAGACAAAAATTTTTTTTTTACATTACTGAAATTTTATTTATCCAGCTATGTGACAGAACACTCCAATCAATCTCACATCCTGCAAAATTCAACGTGACACAAAATCTTAATTACATACAGAAGTAACTGAATGTCCAAGAAGAATCAAGAGTTTGTTTACGAAGAAGACTGAGTTTAGAGTCATATTGAGTAGAATAAGCTGTAGGATAAGGAAAGACTAGAAAGATGAAGAGCTAAGAGTTAGAGAATGATAGAGGAAGGGATGTTAAGGTTGAATTTCTGCATCAAGTGGAGGGATCAATAAAGAAAACCAACTACCTATCTCAGTTGCACTGACTGAAAAAGTAGTAGGTGAGAAGGGACAGAATAAAACCTGACTAGAAGGCATGATTGATGACATATTTCATGCTGGGTTGTTGTTTTGTTTGGAAGGATTTGTTTGGGCAGGACCTTGGTGGAGATGGGAGGCTGCTCCTGTTGGGGTAGATGAACAGAGGTCTGACTGGAGCGGGGTGGCAGCAAGAGGCAGGGAGCCTGTGGAGCAGCGAGCGCATCCAGGAGGCTGTGGGGAGGAGCAGGGACCAAAGCGCCAGTGGCAGAAATGACAGAAAGAATTTCCTAGAGACAGAGGAGGCTGGGCACAGTTTGCTGCAACTCAGAGTCACTGAGTTGGCCAAGACTGGTCTGTGAAGACTATATTTGCTGTTGTGATAACAATAAAATTGAAGCAGGCCTAGAGTTGTCTCTCTCAGCTATCTTGATGATTTCCGATGATTGAGGCCATCTGTGTCAGGCTATTATTTCTTTCCAGAGCGTATCTCTACAATCAATATGTTGTATTAACACTTCCAGTGCTAGTTATGAAAATAAAATCATTTAAATATGTAGTTAGAAAATTGTGTCTATCATCCCTTTCTCTGCTGTATACAGTAAATTATATTTTGAATGCTTGATACAGATTCTACCTGGGATGTAGCAGTCACTGTAGCTTTCAGGCTAATCTTCCCCTTCCCCAGCTCCAAAAGACAGACAATGCAGCTCAGTTAGATGAATTTGAGTGCACCAGCCAAACAATTAATATAGAAGAAAAATCTTCAAAGTACTGATGGTTCCAGTGCAGTAGTAACTACTGATATTTTTTTAAGTATTCTTTGTGTGTTTGGTTTAGTTTTGTTGTTGGTTGTTTTTTTTTTGTTTGTTTGTTTGTTTTTTTATATATATACTGCTTTCTCAATTTATTTATTGAAATCTCTTCTTAACAAAATCTTTGTTTTTTTGATTGACTATTTTCAATGTCCACTAAAGTGCTGATTTCTAATTCTAGCTGTTGGTGAAAATAAGTGAATGAACAAAAGGATGACTAAAAACAGTCTTCAGATAACTTTTCCAGATTACAATTTTTTTTGAAAAAACAGAATCTTCATAGGAAGCCTGAGATGGAAAGTTCTTTTAAATTAATGATCACGGTACCAGTTTCATGGCTCTTTTTGACACAAGGGACAATACCAGTGCTTTCTCCACTTCCTCTACTGTTCCAATAGAGTTTGTAATGCTGTAAGTGAGGGTAACACAGCTTTTTGATTTAAGAGGCTACTCACTCCTTTTTAGCAAAGACTCTTGTTACAGTAATGCCCTCCCAGGCTGTGTGTTTGCTTTGTGTTCTGAAGCACTGGCACTGCAGTTGCACAGGTGGGGTAGCCTGGTAAAGTGCATGGAACCCTTTGCTCAGCTCTCCCTCTACCAGAATCCAGAGCACAAGAGGACCGAGGGGCCCATCCCACCCTAAAATGACATGGGTTGGATGGTGATGGATGCATCTTACAAAATCATTTACTGCTCTTTCAGTGCTTCTTCACAGAATGATGTTTTAACACACATGTTCAATCAAACTAACTTTGGCCATCTAGAATTTTTCTGTTAATGAGATTGAACAGGGAAGGAGGAAAGATTATGCCTAAAAAGTTTTAACTGCAGTTTAATAAGATTTTAATGGGTTTTGGAACTCAGTATATCGTCACCTTCCAGTTGGAAATGTACCAAAGCCAATCTCAAGCTACATTTGCCTTCTAAAGTATCCTGGACACTGTGTAATAAAAGTTAGTGGCCTGAACAGATCTTTGGGCTGACCCAGTGGCTCAGTTCTTATCAAGCTGCTGCTGTGAGGGACAGGTGAACCTAGTTTACCAAGGCAGATGTGGTCTGGATTTTGTTGTTATTGTTGTTTTGGTTTGGGCTTTTTGTGTTGTTGTTGTTTGATGGTTTTGTTTTTTTTTTTTCCCCACCCAAATTAAAGCAAGTTTTTATTTGTAAATGTTTGTCTTTTAGGATAATGTGATGTTTATCTTCTAGGAGTACAAAACACTGCCTGTTGTTTTCCTCCTTATCATTTCAGCATCTTTTTGAAAGTATATGAATATACATATGCAAATTAAGGTTTATAAATCAATAAATAACAGTATTTGCATTACTGCAGATGCAAAGTTTGAGGTCAAGTTACAACTATTTAAAATAGTTTTATAAGCATCTCTCTTTACCTTGACAAAAATAACATTTCTGGAAGCAATGATTGTCATGCAAGCCACTCAAATATTGTAGATAACTTGCTTTTGCTTTGTGGTGCTATTTGCTATATCCAATGTGGCTAATCTGTGCAAATGCAACAGAAAACAATTTGCTTACTGGTAATCCTATTGTTCAGAAGGCCAGCCCTTTTATGACATCTTTGTAACTCTGCTTGTACCGTGGCTGGATTAAACAGCAACTCCCTTACTAGCAGAAGCAAACATGAAGTGTATGTTATATGGGAAATGAATTCAGCTCACACGAGCTTCTTACTCCTTGGGGTGGAGCTGTGAAACAAAGAAGAAAAAGTAATTTTAGAAATAAAGATCTGGACGTCAGTTCTCGAGTTAAGAAATTAAAATCTGACAGAATGCATGGAGGGAGAAGAATGAGTGGGGTAATAGTCTGATATTGGTACTAGACAGATAGTCAGGCCTACGACTTTAATAATAATGCATGTCTGCTGTATATAGAAACATTTATGACCTCATGCTGTAATGTAGGTTGTCCTTTATAAAAACCTGGATACATTAGGCAAAGGCTTGAAGTGATTTGCTTGAAAATAGCATTCAGAGATCACCCCTGCAGAAATATTACAACAGCAGTGGAATCTTTAGAAGAAGAAATCAAACCAAATTGATGGCCTGGGGGAAACAGAAGCTCTAAAATAAGATCATATGATCTTCAGATGGAATCAACAGTGTAATAACTTTTACAGAAAAACAGGTAAACTCATAGCTAGTGACTCACTGATTTTTCACTTCATATTAAATTATTCCTGACTGAAAATTGTTAAAAAGCTAGCAGTCACACAGGCAAGAGATGCTTCCCTTTAGAATGCTTTCAAGCAACAGTTTACAAAGAAAACAATTACTTTTTGACTTTCTGTATGCTTTTTGGCTGATACAACTATCTTTGAAGAACATTTTGCTTTTTTTTCCTAGTGCCATAGTAGTGCCAGTGACATTAGATTAGTTGTACAAGGCCCCAGGGGGGTTAGTACGTAGACAGATGACACTGTAACGTTTGGCTGAGGAAATTTTTGATTGTAACCTAATAGCATAATGAACAACAGAAGGTGTCAAGTGTTATTACAGTTAATGGGCCTCAGTTTTCTTGTCATGAGCTTCAACATATCTAATCTTTGCAGCACAGCTTCCAACATGACAAGGCAGAAAAAATTGTCACAACAATTGAAAACCTGGACTTTGGGTTTGTTTGGGCTTTTTCCTTGGTTCCCTCCACCACCTCCAGATGAGGAGGGATAGATAAGCGGAAGCATATCAGAATAACAAAGTGTGTAGAAAGAGTTAGTAGACTAGAGAAAAACACCAGCAGAAGGCAAAGACAGCCTTCTAGTACAGCTCATGTCACACCATACACGGACACTTTTGTTTATAGGAAATGAAGCTCTGAAGTCAGCAGCAGCTGAAAATGTGATTACAAGCATCAAGCCAGTGGTAGCAAATCAAATATTACTATGCAGAGATAGCCAGACTCCTGGGACTGCGAATATTCTTGCTAACCAAGAACACAACTAGCATCTAAAACCCGGGGTAAGGTCTGAAGGGCACAAGAACACACACATGCAAGACTGGTTTCTAGCAACAAAGAACAAGTGACAGATTCAAGTGTACATGTGACTGGTTCAGCAGCTACCTAGCAATATGGTTTGAGACAAGGTGACCAAGTTAAGGCAATAAAAATCATTCCAGACAATTTACCAAGAGAGATGCAGCCTGACAACTATTAAAAAAGTAAGAAAACAAAGTTCTATAAAGAGATGAATAGAACAAACTGTAAACCTTTTATTCATTGTAAAAGCAATCTGAGAAATAATAAAAATGTCCTTTATGAAAGCTATTAATGTAAAGGACAGAAGCCTACTAGCATAAAGTAATGCTTTGCTGTTCATTATTCTGATTTTTTATGCAAATGGTATTTACAAAATTTTGCTATATCTAACTGAATAAAAAGGGAATTAATAAAAAGATTGGAAATAGAAGGGGCAAAGATAATGCAACATCATGTAGTTTTATAAACTCCAAATTACTACTTCATCCAAAAATAATTTCAGCATGTTGCCAGAAGTAAGCCTGATTTTACTACTGTAATTCCTTGTGTGGGGCCAGAGGCACTGGCCAGCGCTAAGTAACAGAGACTAGATTTATAGCTGAGACGTAAATACTGTGAGTGGCAGTAAGGTTATATACAATGGAAGTGCAAGTCATGTACCTTTACAACCATAATTCTGAAAGAAAAACCACTGAGCTGTCATCCTTAGGAAGTCATTTGAATTATTCCTATGACCTGGTTATGAGGATAGTTTATTTACTGGAAGACTCGAGCCTTGGCAAAAATGTATGCAAGAAAAATAAAATTCAAAGTATAGTAGTATCTTGAAGGTAATCATGAAATGAAAAATATCACCTGAATAAAATCATGGCTGAGTTGTAAAGTGGTCTAAAAGCCTCTACAGACTTTACATCAAACTAATGTAACATTTTCTTTCTCCTTTTAGAGAGAGAATCAGCACAGGAGCTCCCCCAGTGGGCAGCTAACTGGGGAAGACTAGTTTATCACTGCTGTATCTTGATCACGAGCTTTTGTGACTCTTGAATTCCTGAAGCTCACAACTTTCAGGTCGCCCAAGTGCAATTTTTGCGTTGAAGCAAAGCCATGCACCTGCAAGCTGGCACATCTCCTGCTGGGTATGGTGGATCCTAGGTGCTGCAGGCAAGGGGCCAACAGGGCTATCCAGGCTCCTGCTCCATGGCTTACCTCAGCGCAGACCACTGATACTTTGCAGTGAAACGAGAAGTTGTTCGCAGGTAGGAAGAGCTTGAACTAAGTCTTTGCAACGTGCTTCCTCATTGAAAAGAAGGGCAGATGGCAGGTGATCGCTCCTCACAGAAAGAGAGCCAGCCAAAATCTCTGTGATGCTGATGGCCATGCAGTGGTAGGGCTGGCTGCTCCAGGTACTTCACCTCTCAGCCAGGGCTGCTTCAGAGGGAAGATGTCTGTAGAGCTTTCCCACTTGTTAAGCTCCATATTAACTGAATTCAACCTGAGTTTGTAAATAGTTTACTATTTTCTTTAAAAATAAAATAAAAAAACCTCCACAAAACAAACAACTATCTTGCCTAGTCTTAGTCACAGCTGAACAGCTGTGAAGAAGCATTTCTGCTAATGCAGTGCCAGTCACGGCAGAGAAACACAGCATTTCACAGGTGGCTCTCATTTTCTGGGTTGCTGACTTGAGACCTCAGTGTTTGATTTGCAGAAGCACTGAGTACTTGCAGCTGCAGCTGAAGTTAATAGTAGCTGGGCTTTGAACATGGAAGAGTACTATGAAACAAGTCTTCTGAAAAAGCAGTTTTCAGCACTTTCAGACTGAGCACCCAAAATTAGTAGTAAGTGTGTGTAGTTTTTTCTTTTTAACCTCTCTGGGCCTTGTTTTATTTTTAAAGATAATATAATTTGTTCTTGCTGTAGGTATGTCATAAAAGCAAATTTATTGAAGTATATAAGCCTGTAGATGTAATAATGATCTTACAGAGAAATCACAGAAGAAATTAATTGTCTTCAGTATGAACTTGCATTGAGCTTATGGAAAGAGAATGGAAGTAGAATATGGTAGAGCTGTGTGCTGAATCAGGTAGGACAGGACAAAGAGTAGCTATAATTTTCTTTTCTTTCTGTCTTCTCAGAATCACATGAAATGGTTTGAATGTATGCTGGGAACTGTTAGGTCAGGTATGGTCCTCTCTACATTGTGTAATTCACTTCATTTGAATTACTACTACCTTATTATGATGTAAATGAGGAAGAAAAGATCTTGAAGGAATGAAGTCCTTCACCCCAGTGCAAAGAGAGGTCCTATACTGTCCTGGGCTATAATGTGTGCTGTAACCAGACACAGACTGTTCTAAGCAATTAATTCTCATGCAAAAGGCCTGCAGCAGTGCCATTTGAGCATCACAGTCAAAGCCTTAACTTCAGAAATTAGTGGTAGCTTATAAAAAAATGGTACTGTAAGTATATGAAACATGGCATAGTGGTTATCCTTAGCTTCTGTGGCTACTGATGCTTTTGCTTTATTATCAGGACAGTGTAGGGTCAGAGATGCATCAAAGAGTCATTGATGTGGCAGTCTAATAAGGTCACCTTCTGTGATAGGAGGAGAAACCAACTGTGTGCCTGAACTGCTGGGTTTCTTTCATTTGTTAAAATGTTGGAGGGGAAAGAGCAACCTGGCAAAGGATAAGGACTCCTTAAAGTTTTGCACTTTCTTTCTTCTCCATAACTGTGGCTGATGTAAGAAATGCTGTAGCTGATTATGATTAGTATCCAGGTATCTAATTGCAGTCAGCCTGTTTATGACTGTTTGTGCTTAGGATTTTATGGCAGTTTTGCATTGCAATTAGTTTAGAAGTTGGAAGGTGAGTTTTGATGAATCTGTTTGTGCTGAATTAATATTTCCCCTGTATGCTGGAAATTACCATCTTCATTATAGTCAGAAGAATGAGGCAAGTATTTGTGGTTCAGCCTCTCTGTTTCTTAACCCATATTAAACTGAAGTGCTGATGAGAGTGGGTTTCTGGTAGGAAGACAGGCTGTCAATAGGAAGAGCTGAAGTGCAAGCTCACGTTTTTGCTAAGGGCCAAGTTAGGGGCAGAGTAATTGTGTTTGGTGCTTATACTAGTACCCAAGTATCAGACTCCAGTGCTAACTTTTAAAGCTCTTGACAAGCCTCCTTTCCCTGCTTCTCAAGTGTTATTACTGCTGTGATATCAGCCTGCAGATTAATGCAGTGACTTTTTTTTTTTTTTTAATCTTCATGCATAATCAATACAGAAATCATTGTGGGTTTAGTGCTCCTAACTGAACCCGATGCCTGCTAAAGTATGATTTCTAAAGAATGCTTTCTAAAGTTTGACAATTTTTCATGCCACTGACTAAACAATTGAAATATTGAACAGCAGCAGGATTTTGCAATTTAAGAAGTCAAGATCAATCTTATCTAGTACATAATAGATACAATAAAAAAGTAAGAAAGCATGCCTAGATACCTTTAAACCTGTGAAGAAAACTATTTCTGACATTGGTACTGTCCCTGAAAAGATAATCGGCTTCTTTAATTAGCAGCAAACTGACTGTATTTTAGCAGTTTTCTGTAGAGGCCACTACAAACCCTGGATAACAGTTCTGAGTCCTACCACTCACTGTTTCAAAACCAGGATTTTGTTTCCCTGGATTTCAGCTCTGAAATGATTCCAAGCATCACCCCATGCAGCAGGATGACAATACCTGAAAACTGGGACAGCATAGTCACAAGAAAGATTTCATGCTTTCAGTAAAGTGCGAGTGAAGGAGACTTTCGAACTCCTAGTAATAATACTACCTCAGATGGGAGAATAAATTCTGCCAGCTTTTCTTATTACTTTGCTAAGCTATATTCTCTGAAATGAGTCACCATCAATTCATCTGGTTTGACCCAATTCAAATTAAAGTAGAGGGTCATCTGCCCTGATCTGATCATAAGCTGCACAGCACTCTGGCAGCTGTAATGATTGTGAAAAGGAAGCTACATACAATGATTAACAAATATATTGTATTGCACCTACCGCCTTGCTCAGAAATGTGTATAATGTTATGTCAGCATATGGGTTTTTTTAATGTTCTGGCTTTTTTAATATAAAGAATCTTTGTTGCACCTCTTCTTGTAAAATTTGTTCAAATCCTGGCTGCTCTCATTCCTGTTGTTTCTGCTTTTTGTTGATGTTTGTCCCTGAGAGGCTTTCGTACTGTCCAAATCTGTCAAGGTTTGAAGGTCAGTTGCTGGTAAATTGAATCTCACGGTTCTCACAGTATTCCAGTCCTGGCCTGTGCTCAAAGCACTTACTGGGGTCCTGTAGTGTTGCATCAGTGTTTCTCTACATCTGCCTGTAGTGCTGTTGGCAGGCAGCTGGGATTCAGTAAAGAAGCTTTTTAATACCCTGTCACATCTTTGCAGATCTTAAATGCTTCCTTCACCTTCTTGTTATGTTGGGTTCATAAGCTAATTTGCTGTGGGCTATAAACTGTGGATAGTGAAACAAGGTGCACTATGGTACCTCTGCCTGCTCCTGTGGCTGGTGAATCTCATTCCGCTATTCGTTGTCTATTATTTTAATTTGCCTGGGTAATAATTTCTTGAAAGCTGTGTATGTTTTGCCATCAAACTGTCTGTGGTGTGGGAAGAATGTGAGATGTTCAAGTTATGGTGGTGATGTAAACTGCAAATCCTTGAGAGGCAGATTGGAGAGAAGAGAGGTGGTAAGTATTTGCCCCCTCCCTGAAAGTGTGTAAGGCCAGGTTGGTCCAGGCTTTGAGCAATCTCATCTAGTGGAAGGTGACCCTGCTCATGGGAAGAGTGTTGGAACTCGATGATCTTAAGGTCCTTCCGAACCCAAACCGTTTTATGATTCTATGACTTTGAGAGGCTGTGTTTTCCATATATCTGTATAAATATAAATGGATAGATTGTAGCTGTCATTCCTCACGTTTGTCTAACCTATTCTTAAAAATCTCCTATGGTGGAGATTCAGATCCTCTTCTAGTCACTTATTCTATCTTTCAGTGTTGGGCACAGGAAACTCTTCCTACCTTAAATCTGTGATGCAAGCCCATACTTTACTGCCAGCAGACATGGAGGAGAAACTGATAGCCAAGCTCCTTTAATTTACCACTTGCTCAAAGACTCTCATGAATGATTACCAATTTTAACTTTCCAGGGCAAGCTGTCACAGATCCTTTAACCTTTCCTTAAAAGCTATACTTTTTAGTCTTCTGCTTGGTTCCATTACTTGCTCAGCAGCCAACTGTGGAGAGTCTGGGTATTTATTTAGATTTAGCAGCCACAGCTGGATGTGCTGGGAAAGGCCTTGCAAAATGCCACACAGAGCAAAAGGACTGCTCTGGTTGTCTTACGGGCAATACTTTTGTTTGCGTATTACAGTATGGTGCTTACTTTTTTAATTAAGTATACTATACATCACCAGCTGAAAAGAGATCAGCACCTGCCCCCTGCCCACCTTCCTCCCCCACGTAGTAATTAATCCTATATCTGTAGATCTGAAAATGTTAAGTTTTCATTTGTGATTTCTAATTAAAATAGAGGGTGATGATTTTAATGGGAGATCCTGGAAGGTTAGCCAAACCAAGCTATTCAGTGAGGAAGACTTTTTTTTTTTTTTTTTTTTTTTTCTGCACAAAACAAGAAAAAGTGCTGATTTTTGATCAGTTGAATGTTGGTTGTGTTAAGCTTATAAATTATTTCAACCTATTACAGATGAAGTGTTAGAAGATCAACTCAAAATATATTTGAGTGGAGTCTATAGTTCAGGTGAGGACTTAGGAAGGTTCTGCTGTCAGATGGTTTCACAGTGAAACAAATGGCATTCATAGGCCTATATCTGTACAAGTGTTTGTGGATTTTTGATGTATTTATGGCAGTAAGGCAGGGAATAGACTACTTGTTTCTTCCTAGCTCTTCCTGAAACCCAGTCATGTCCTACATAGTGTTCTGCTATTCAAGAGAGTGCATATATGTTGGCTATATTACTTTACACAGGAATTATCTCTGTTATACCCTTGCAGACTAAATCTCCTGTGGCTTTATTTAATTTTGAAGCTTTCTAACAAAGCTGTACCTCTGAGTCCATGTGTACTGTCAGTTTCCCAGCTGAGTGACATTTGGGATATGGTACTCGAAGTTGTCTGTATTCTGACTTGAGGCTGTCAGCACTGAGATCTTAGCAACAAGTATCTTTAGTTCAGACTAGCAATTTATGGGATATTTCAGAAAAAAGTTTGATAACACGTCTTTCAAAATAATGTATCTTGATTTTTTTTAATAGACCTTTTTCTTTTACAGAATGTGGCTCCATGTGTGTGGGATGGCATTGTCAAAAATAACATGACAAATTTCTCACCATTTTGAGTTGGTTTTGTCTAGAAGATGAAGTAAGATCAGCTATTTGTTGACATTTACTAAACAACATCTTTAATCCCATTGAGCTACTAACTACATAGGCAAGGAAAGCCAGAAAACACAACAGTCCTTGAAGTTTTTTGTGTCTATGACTAGTGATTTTCCTGGTGATGATTCTGATTGTGCTATGTGATCTTCTTAGATCACTCACAGTGAAGATGCAAAAATGAACTTATTACTTCTTATGCAGAAAAATTACTTCTTATTCCAGTGAACTTATTACTTCTTATGCAGACAAACAATTGTTCTCTACATTTGTGTTTATCTTTACACTAACAATTTTTTGTTAGCTTCTTAGCATTTGTAAAGCAATTTATTAGTTACTTATGGGAAGAAATCTCTCTGTGCAATATAACCTTCCTTCCATGTTTCCCTACCTTCTAGAAAATAATTCATGCATTTAACTGATCATATTGAATCAGTGAATCACTTTTCCTTCTCACCTGTGGAAGTTATCCATTAAGCTTGATATACCTTAGCACATGAGAGGTTGTCTGAACTCCTGAGCAAGGGCAGAGGATGCTAAAACATAGTATAGAAAGCACTTAACTGGGAACGGGGGGAGCCTGGAAATGGCTCAGAGTTCTCACCTAATCTGCTCTACTAAACTCTACATTCAAATCTCGAGTAGAAAAATACATATGAATCTGCAAAGGTTTTAGAAGGACTCATAGTTATCAGCTATAGATCTCATAGCCTTAAGGAGAGAGTCCAACCTTGTTAATAACAGGATTTAAGGTGGGGAAGCAGAAGTACTGGCAATTGAGCAACCTGTGTAAAATAATCCAGTAACTCATGAATAGAGATGAGATTTGAAATCTTGGTCTTGAGTATGACAATTTAGCTCTTAAATCATGCTGTGGTACAATGATACACTTGGAAAACAAACTAGCACTGATTCTGAAACAATACCAGCTAATAAATGCAATGGAAAAATGTTTGCATAGCTAGTCAGTGTATTGCCCAGAATGAAATATACGTGGAAAGTTGCAAAGACAAAAAAAAAAAAAAATGTTTAGGGCGTTTTGCAGATGGTAATTTATGTAAAGTTAGTTTAAGCCTGTACAAGTAAACTATGGATAGAATGGAGCTTTATACTTCTCCAGAAGATTGATAAGAATACATGATTTACCCTCGTTTCCAGTGGTGACTTCCCAGTTTCTAATGTCCCTGTTTCTGAGGCAAGTTACTGCTCCTCGAGTCTGGATGTGACTTGCCACCGGATATGTTAGCAAGCAGAAGCCCTGCTCTCTCCCTGCTGTCACCGTGTTCTAGGCACACTGGTCTCTCACTCTGCTCCCTTGTACAAACCGAGGTATATGCAGTGGTGAAACCTTGCTCCTTGGTTGTACACATTCAGGATGGACATCCTGATCCAGCCTATACAGTCCAGGTAAAAATGTTACCACTGTATGAAGTCTAGCAGCTGACTTCACACCACACAAACATAGGAGATGTGTCTTCCTCCTGAGAAAGTGGAGATGAAAATCAGGAATAGTGCATACTGGTTTGTTCTAAAAAGCAGAAATCTTACCTTACTTAGACCTAACATGATGTGCAGTTGGTGATATTTATAGATAGAAACATGATACAAATGGAAATTTAGACAGAAAACATAGTGCTGAGCAGTCTTTTTTCCCCTGCCATCCCAATCCCCTGATTAACCTTTTAATTTAACATTTGTTTAATAATTGGATTAAACAGAATAAAGAAAATTTTTGCTTAATGGAAATAAGTGGAAGCAATGAAGTGAAACATTTGAAAATGGCTCAGACAAAAAGCTTTAAATTACATTGTGGAGAGCAGTGGAAAAAAAAGACAAAACAAACTAACATAGACTTCTCTCATACTTGTTCATGTATATATGAAATAGGGCTCCTGTTATTCCTCTGTAAGATCTCTGTAGTTGTGCAAGAATATAGATCAAGATGAGAATATACATTGACTGGGGATTAAGTAGATAATCTCATGAGGTCCTTTAGTCCTGCAATTCTAAACTAGGTTAGATATGTCCTCTGTTAAAGTTTTAAATGTATCTACTTAAACATTTCTATTGATTATAAAATCAACTGAAATTACTAAAATTCAGTATTCTGTCATAAACTAGAATTTATGAATTGTGGGCATTGGATGAAATTGGTGTGGTGTTTTTTTTGTTGTTGTTGTTGGTTTTTTTTTTGGTTTTGACTTGTTCCAGTAGCAATGGTGATTACCTAATTATCTTTGTGGATTTCCTGTGAGAGAGAAAAAGCAAATGTCTTTTCAGGACATGTCTTTCATGTAGCATTAAGATGTGATTTCCTTCTAGTAGCTGGTCTGTATACCTAGTAAATCTTTGATCCAGTGAGGGTAAGCTGCAAAAATGAATAGATATAAGCTTTATGGCATATAGAGATGTATTCTGGATGCCAACTTGATAAGATCTAACCAGTTAGAAATGTGTGGGAGAAACGACCTGTTATATATACTTTTTACTTTCATATATGAAAGAACAGCTTTCCCTTGAAACACAGAAGGAAAAATGCAATATGTAGGGGAACTGATAAATAACTACCTTCTCAGCCTTGTTTTTATGTGGATTGTAGTCAAGTGGTAAGATTTAGGTAGTTCTTTTCTGTATATAGGTTTACAATTGCCTCAATGCTGCTGGCACCCCAGAGTTGCTGATTATAGTCACATCTGGTCTCAGTCAAGAGCCAGAGACAAACTACATACAATTAGTCTGCTAAAACATTTGTATTGCATGTTTTTTTTAATTGACAGTGATATAAACTGTAAGGATCAGTGAAAGATGCACTTCTTGCTGCTGTGTAAAGCCAAATAGCTGCCAAAAGGGAAGGCAAGAATTTAGGCTTTCATTGCAGCAAAGAGTTGCTTAGTAAGTAACTGGTCCAGTGCAGGGGATAACATTTAGTGAAGTAAAGAAATACTTGTATGTCTATTGGAATCTCTAAGGGGCTCGCTAGACTGTTTCCCATGTCAGGCAGGAACAGGAGTGTTGAAGTAAAGAATGAAGAATCCTATATAAACAGGTGAAAAAGCACTCAAATATAACGTGATTTTTTTTTTTTTTCCAGAGCTGCTTAGCATATGTACTTAAGTGCCAAAGTAGTATTAATGTTTATGTATCTTCCACTCGTTCCTAATGTTGAATTTGATATTACTGAAACATTCTTTCTCATCCTCACCCTTTGCTTTTCTGGAATTAGTTGTGGTGTTGAGGGATGTCTTTTGTATCCCAAAGCATCTTTAGTTACAAAATGAGGCAGAGTTCTGTTAAAGAAAAGTATTCATCCAGCCATTTCACTGTCAACAGCTTTTCTCAAGCACCCTGCTTCAGGGCCTTCCAGTGCAGTATATTTTGCTTTCTGTAAACGTTGCCTTACCTGGGCTTGCTCTCTTAGAGTGTTCTTGACTTTTACAGTTGCCTGGTTTACCTCTCCTTTCTTAAAGACAGTTCCTCAGACATTCCCTGACCTCTGTGCTCGTCCCATCCTGTTCTGCTCACTGGTTCTCTGCACCTCACAAACTTCCAAAATGTGGCATCAGTCCTCACATGCATTGCTTCTCCACAGGCATCCTTCCAGATATAGCTTTGATTTACAGTAAAACAAATTTGGAGAGAAAGCATTTAGCTGCCTTGATTTAGTCTATATCCCAAAGAATATTTGTAAAACAAATCATTCTTCCTCTCTACAGTGGTAGAGAAGTTTTATTGAAGAGTGAGAAATTATTATACTTCAAATGATGGGTAGAATTTCAAATTGCAAACTGAATCTCATCATACATGCTTCAATTTCAAATCTTCATATCGCTTCTGCTGCACTGAGAGAGTCGTAAGCTTGTGTGTTGTCTGCTACAGCTTGATACAGTACATAAGGGAGCCCTGAAAAGCTCTGTGTTATATTATTATACAACATGCAGCCATTAGATTTCATTTAACTCTGGCTGGTGGGTTGGTGTCTAAAACTTATTTCTTGCTTCCCCGTGGATATTTATAAATTGTAACAAAATGCCTCTTGATTTCACCTTTGATAAGATAAATGGAAGATCTTTAAACATTATGCATGACCACTTATGGTGGCCTTGTATAGGCTGTGTTCACTTAGTAAGTTCATAGACTGTATTAGTGAGGATGGTCATAATTGTAGTATCTTATCCACAAAAAGGATGATAAATGTCCCTGTCTCCAGCTACTCTGCTGGAGAAAGGGAAAAACCAAACAAAAATGTTGGATAGATAATGCTGCAGGAGTACTGATCTTAAGGACAGCTTTTGTTTTAGAAGTCCTTCTGGAGCAAAAACTATAACATCTTATGGAGACTCTCATTTTCTTCTTTCTGATCTCTGCCTGCTTGAGAAAGACACACTCTTTCAGGAGCCTACAGAGATTTAAATCTCACACTGACCAAAACCTGCTAATGTCTTGCAGCTATTTTCCTGTCTCTTCTTGAGTCCTGCATTCTTATGAAGCTGGGAAGGAAACACAAAATATCCAGTGTCCTACATCTGCCACTGATGGATTCTTTATCTGAATGAAGATGCCACTCCATTGTACTAGAGCTTTAATTTTTCATTTGTTTGCCTCCATTTATTTAAGCAAAAGTATATAGAAGCGGCAAATCTTGGCAGAAAGGTTGCAAATCATATATTTTAATATTATTTCTTTCAATCTTGGTTATCTTTTCTCTATAGCTTATATTGACTTTTCTTGGAGCTAGATAGTTCTGGCTGCCAATTGATTTCAGGCTGTCTCACTGATTTGAAAGTCTAATAAAATTTCAACTTAAAAAAATCAGTTATGTTTTGAAGTTGGGATCTAAAATCAACTAACAGCAATTTACTTAAGTTCTTAATTCAGAGTGTTGAGCTACCACAGCTAATTGTATTCACGCTTTGTGTACAATATCAGTGTTGGGTATAAACATTGGGTATAATGATGGATATTGCAACTTGAAGAAGAATTTTGGGAGCACTTGATGTCTGAACAAATATCTGTGATTCTTGAGTGTATGAGAATATCAAGCAGTAATAGGAACATTTTACAGCTATTCTTAACTGAACATCATTAAGACCTTTACTCCTAGAGTGTACTCAGTTCTGGTTTATCCATTCAGCAAAGAAGCTGGAAAAGATTCAGAGTAAAATTTTAAAAATAAAATCAATAAGAATGATCTGGCATTTGAAAAAATAACCTTAACATAAGATGAAAAAAAAAAAAAAAAGTCTCTTTTATTAAAGACCTGCTTAAGAAGTGACCTGATCACAGTCTGGGGCAGGATTCTGTTGGAGACTCTTCTGCAGTGTAGAATTGACTATAAAGAAGCAAAGAATAAACTGCTGTCCAAAACATCAGCTGCCCCCTCTGTCTCTGCCTTTAATTTACAGGCAGGTCTTGATTTGGTAGGAAACTCCCAACATTAAATAAGAAAATTATTTTATACTGTTGTTTTGATAGGAGTTAAAGGATTTATAGGCTACAGACAGCATAAGCAGGTAACAGGCATGTAACATTAAACAGTCTGTTTCTACCCACTGAA